CCTTATAGTTTGGATGACTTTCCTCACATTTAGAAGCCATATTCTGCCAATATTATAAACAACTCCCAGTAGTGTGCCTACAGGAAGTACTCAATAATTGATTATTCAATTTACTTTAGAGAGCTCAATGTAGTAATTAAGAAGACTCCAGTAACAGTCATTATTGGCACAATATCTGTTAGGAAATCATTAATGTGTTCCTTCCTTGTCCTAAACAGTTTAACATTCTTTAGATTTTTTTCAATTTTTTATAGATGTTCAAATACAATTGTCTCCATTTTCCCACCACCACTTTCCCCTGCCCTACCCACACCCACCTCACACCCTCAATCCCACATCCCCTTGGCTCCATCTATGAGTACCTCATATAGCTTCATTTATGTTCTTTTCCCTTCTTTCCCATGTTATTTCCCTCTCCCTTCCTGTCTGGTTACTGTCAGATCACTGTTGATTTCAATGCCTCTGGCTATATTTTGCTTGCCAGTTTGTTTTGTTAATTAGGTTTTACTTAAAGGTGAGATCATATGGCATTTGCCTTTCATCACGTGGCTTACTTCACTTAGCATAATGCTTCCCAGTTCCATTTGTGTTGTCACAAAGGGTAAGAGCTCCTTCTTTCTTTCTGCTGCATAGTATTCCATTGTGTAAATATACCATATTTTATTGATCCACTCATTTACTAATGGCCAGCTAGGCTGCTTCCTGTGCTTGACTATTGTAAATTGTGCTGCTAAGAACAAACAATCCAATTAAAAAATGGGCAAAGGACCCAAACAAACACTTCTCCAAGAAGGACATACGAGGCCCAGAGACATATGAAAGGATATTCAGCTCACTAGCCATCAGAGAGGTGCAAATTAAAACCACAATGAGATACCACTTCACACTGGTCAGAATGGCCATCATAAACAAATCAACAAAACGTAAGTGCTGGTGGGGTTGTGGAGAAAAAGAAACCCTAGTACAGTGTTGGTGGGAATGCAGACTGGGGTAGCCTCTGTGGAAAACAATATGGAATTCCTTCAAGAAACTAAAAATGGAATCACCTTTAGATTATATTTTAATGAAATTTTGTGATGGAAAATAACAAGAAATACTTTGTGTATTAGTCTACCCATATGAAGCTAGTTTATGAATTCAAAGGGATTAGAAAAAAATTGGTCTCATATATTGCACAATCCAATGAGTTGTGATTATTTCTTCTATAAATGAAAAAGTTTAGATGAAATTCCAGGAAAATTACTAGGTCTCATTTAACCTTCAGTAATAAAAGAAAATTTATGTGTGTCCCTGTGTGTGTGTGACTCTTAACAATTACTTTACCAATTCTGATTTCTCATTAAATTTTGAAGGAATCTGAGCAACAGAATAAAGATATATTGAAAAGAACAATAAAAGTCATAAATGTGTACCAGATTTAAGAATGAAAATACAAAATATTTATGTTAGATGTTTAAAACTTTTGTTTCACTTTTCCAGAAAGTCAAATACTTGACCCTTGCTATTGACCTTACCCTAAAACAACAAAAACTTTGATATTTACTGGACTTAGATATCTCCTGGACAATGCCCTAAACTATCTAACTTACTATCATTTTGTTTTCAGTAAACTGATAACCAGACTGGCATACAAAATTACTGCAATGAAATTTGCCAAAGTTTCTCCCTGAAAAAACAAAAGAGATTAGCCCCAAGCAAAACAGCAACAACTCTTGGCTTATAAAGGGAAAAGGGGATATTTTTAAATATGAAAGACAAGTTTTTTTTCTGACAGTAAATTTCTAAGACACATAAAATACCTTAGAAATTTAAATGTGACTCCTGAAAATGCCATTTTTTGATAGCTAATTTTCAGTAGAGATTTACATAGAAAGAAAAAGGAGGGATTTTTGTGAAAAAGATACAATCTGTAGGAGGAAAACACAAAGACAAATAAATGAATTCAGGAGGTCAGCAGAAATATCCAGCAAAGTATAAGGAACAGGCATCAGATATGCCCCAGGGTGTTCTCTCTTCACCCATATCCTTAGATGTCTTCATTTCCTTGAGAACCCAACCTGATTTTATAGCTTATGACCTGAACCAGCAACATCCCTGGTGTGTCTGCTCAAAATTCAAACCAGTAAGACAAAAGTAGGCTTGTTGTGATCACAAAGACAAGCCTGTTTTTTCATTTCATTTCATTATTAAATTGACAGGTAAAATAAGTTCATAATGGCAGATGATGGGGCTTGGAGGTCAAACAATTCTAGAGGCTTGGCTGTCACCTGTTCCTGTAAATATGCCTTAGCAGTAACGATAAAAAAAAAATGTATAAGCAGATTGGGCAAGTTAATTTAAGTAGCCACAAAGAAATATAAAAACAGATTATTTTTTTTCTCGTGATTTTTTAAGTTACCAGAAGGCTGTTCAATTATTGAAATATTTCTTAAAGGTTGAAAAAACATGAGTGGAATGAATTATCACTGTCATCCACATTAGGAAAACATTAATTGGTTTGTGTGTCATAGTTTTGTCTAGCTGTTAGACTGTGCTGTTTGAGGTTATAATAGGGAAAAAAGGGTTTCAGAAGAAAAAGATTACAAAACATAATTATCACTTCTCAAGTGTCTGTCAACAGACAAATGGCTATAAAAAATGTGGTACATATACGATGGAATATTATTCAGCCATGAAAAAGAAGAACCTCCTGCCATTTGTGACAACATGGATGGACCTCGAGGGCATTATGCTAAGTGAATAAGTCAGACAGAGAAAATCAAGTACTTTACAATCTCACTTACATGTGGAATCAGAAAAAATAATCTGAGAAACAGAGAGTGGAATGGTGCCAGTAGTGCCCAGGGATGAGGAAGATGGGGAGACCTTGGTCCAAGGGTACAGACTTCAAGTTATTACATGAACATATTCTTGAAAATACTCAAACATAAGATAAAATGATGATTAGTTGTGATGAATATGAGTAAAAGTACTATGACTTTAGACAAAAAGTTGTGTATGCCTATATACATATATATACATATATATGTATATGTATATATAACACTGTATATATATGTGTGTGTATATATATATATATAGTGTTATATTATTCAGTCATAACAAGAAATGAAATTCTGTTACGTGCTATCATATGGATAAACCTTGAAAACATTGTGATAACTGAAATAAGTCAGACAAAAAATACACTGTATGATTTCACTTATTAAGGAACCTAGAATAGGCAAATTCATAAAGACATAAAGTAGAATGGAGGTTATCAGGGGCTGGAAAGAGGGGGTACAGGTTTTCTGTTTGGGATGATGAAAAATTCTGGAGGTGGATAGAGGTGTTTCCCGCACAACATTGTAAATGTACTTAATGAGACTTAATTGTATACTTAAAAAGCGTTAGCCCTGGCTGGTGTGTCTCAGTGGATTGAGCACCAGACTGAGAAGCAAAGGGTTGCTGGTTCGATTCCCAGTCAGGGCACATGCCTGGGTTGTGGGTCAGGTCCCTATTAGGGGGCACATGAAAGGCAACCACACATTGATGTTTTTCTTCCTCCCTCCCTCCATTCCCCTCTCTCTAAAAATAAATAAATAAAATATTTCTAAAAAGGGTTAAGATGGTAAAATTTATGGCTATTAAAATAAATGACTAAACACTAAAAAATAATCACTTCCTCATAGAGCAGATATTCTCTTCACAGTGAGACTAAATGTCTAACACCTTGGACATGGTTACACAGTCCCATAAAAAGCTCCATATGTGAATTCAAAGATTTTTTTCCTCCAGTCTTAGCTAGATCACTTCCTAGTAGTAAATATTTGAATAAGTCACTGAGGTCCTTTGTGCTTTAGTTTCTTCCAGTTACAGTATCCAACAGAATTGTTTTGAGGACAAAATTAAAAGGAAATAATGCATAGAAAGTGCTTTATAAACTCGCACAACTATACTAGTGCATGGGGGCAATTTGTATTATATAGTCCTTTAAGGTGTTTAGTCATGAAAAACTTATCACTAAAATATACTTATTACTTGCTATTTAAATTCTCTATAATATTGTTATTATTGGTAAGATTCAGCCAAAGTGGCTTTAAACATATTTTTCTCTATGAAAAATATTAAATCATAGTTTATAGAATTTTTTTTAAAAAAGCTAATTTTCGCCCTGGCAGGTGTAGCTCAGTGGAGTGAGCGTGGGCTGGGAACCAAAGTGTCCCAGGTTCGATTCCCAGCCAGGGTACATGCCTGGGTTGCAGGCCATAACCCCCAGTAACCACACATTGATGTCTCTCTCTCTCTCTCTCTCCCTCCCTTCCCTCTCTAAAAATAAATAAATAAAATCTTTAAAAAAAAGGTAATTTTCTTAGGAAACACATTCTTAGTTACCATTCTTAGAGTGAATAAACTTTTTCATTTATGCTATTTCTATATATTTTGTTCATTGTTTAACCTCATTGTACATACCTTTGGAAGAAGGGACAACTATATTGTATCTCGTGTAGAAAAAAAAGTTTCAATTTTTTAATTGCAAGTATTTTGTAAAGATTTCATTTATTCGTTCTTTTAGAGAGAGGGGAAAGGAGGGAGAAAGAGAGACAGAGAAACATGAATGTGTGGTTGCCTTTCGTGCACTCCCTACTGGGGACCTGGCCCACAGCCCAATTATGTGCCCTGACTGGGAATCTAATTGGTGAACTTTTGGTTAATAGTCTGGCACTCAACCCACTGAGCCACACCAGCCAAGGCTAATTACAGGTATTTTAAAAATGTAGTTTGCTGCATGCTCTCATCTTCTATTCCAACCATTTTCAGTATCTACATTATCAGATACATGACAGTACTTTGATGTGGCATGTTATCCAATGAAACATCATGTAAAACTCTTCAGATACATAATTACATTGAAATATAAGTCGTTAAGTGACCTAAATTGATTGATAAAACATCATAAATTAGCACCAAAATCAATGTGGTTGAAACAAATATCAACTAATTCTTTGTTTCCCCCTTAGTGGTTACATCTTTGACTACGAATTCTACAGAGATGACTTCTACAATCGGTATGTAAATTTTCCTCCTTGTTTCCTTTTGATTTAAATTATCTTTTAAGTGTTTTGTACATTCACTCACAGATATTCTTCATTGATATACTTAAAATGACATTTTATAGTAAAAATTAAAAGAAAATACTAAGTTCCCCAAAATATGACTTAAACAGATTTTCCTTTTTCCATTGTATTCACTGAGGTAAGTGCTAAGTGCTGGAAACAACCTAAGTACCCACCAATGAATGATTAGATCAAAGTGTCATACATTTTCACAATGGAATACTATGCAGTAGAAAGAAAGGAACCCCTAACCTTTCATGACAACATGGATGGAACTGGAGAATATTATGCTAAGTAAGATAAGCCAGATGGTAAAAAACAAATATCATATGATCTCACCTATAAGAGGAACCTAATGAACAAAACAAATGAGCAAAATAGAACCAGAGGCATAGAAAGAGGGAAAAGACTGACAGTGACCAGAGGGGAGAGAGGAGGAGAATAAGGGTGGAAAGAAGGGGAAGGGACTAGTCAAAGAACATATATGAATAACCCATGGACATGGACAACAGGGTGGTGATTGACTGTGGGAGTCAAGGGTGGGTTGGGCAAAGGGTAAAAAACTGAGACAACTATAATAGAACAGCAAAATAATTAAAAAATAAAGTAAAACTTGGATTTTTAAGAATTTGGAGGTGCTTAAGCCTATAATTTGGTGTCTGATGTTTGGATAATATTTCAAAGATTTAATTAACCAATATTATTTTCTAGGTCCTTTGTTGACTTAGAATTCCTCAAGATAGTTTTTTAAGCTTAGACAATGACTTCAACCTTCTAAAATACATCTGTTTTCACATAACACATCAAAAATGCTACATTGGTTAGATTCAGCAAAATATACTATATACTTGATATGCATAGTAGTGTGGGACCATAAAAAGAAATGATGCAAAGTGATGTTAATAATCAGTGGGGAAAAAAATAAGACTTTCCATGGTCTTTACAAATGTTTGTTAAAACATTAAAAACTCTCCTATTATAGGTTATAACTATGTAGGGAAAAAGTATAAAACTAATAGTTATTTAGTACACTATTATTTAAAACATTAAAAATATTAAGAGTTAATGTGTTTTATTTTTTTGTAAAAAATACTTATCCAAAGTAGTTTGAGCAATGTTTTCTTCTTGTGTAACTTACAGTATGGAGCCAGCATCTGCTTCATGCCTGGTGAGTTGTACATCTCCTAAGAGTGGATCAACTTGGAGGATTTATCAGTGTTGAGAACTGTGTCCCAGTTCTTTAATGAGGAATTCTCTCCCTTTGTCACTTCTTCTGGGATATCTCTCTTAATTTTCATTACATCACAACCACTTTACTACTTATGTCAATATGTTTGCTTTTGCTAAATTTTTGTAGCTCCACATTTAGAGTTTCAACTGGAAGCAGGTCAACCACCCTGATATTAGGTTTTTGTCCTATAATTCCATTACATATTTTAATTTCACTGCCAATGGTATACTCTTCAGTTCTTGATGCACTTTCATCTTTGTTGACTAGTTCCCTCTTTTGATAATCCATTTTTGTAAAATGTCCCCTGATTCATTTGTTATGAGGAGACAGGAGACAGTACAATCTAACATCTCCTGTCTATGTGACCTGAGTGAGAGATGACAGCAACCCATCACTGATAGCCTTTAAAAGAAGTGATGTGACTGATGGCTGATCAGGAGGCATCATGATCTATGGACTGAAAACCTAGCAGCTAAGTTTGGACATTTTGAAATTTCTCACAGACCATATATTGTGGAAACTGAAATTTAATTTGTGCTTTTGGGGGACTGGTGTTATTTAATTAACCATTGGTTGAAATTCAGAAATATTCAAAGCAAGAACTCACTGTACATAGATCATTAGAGCCCCCAAAATGACATAAATACCTCTTAGGCCTTAAATTATAAATTTTATTCAGGTTTACTTATCTTTGTATCCATAGGTGCCTTCATGAAATCTAACACACAATGGAAACCCAGTTTGTGCTATTAAGTCATCTTCTTATATTAAACAGACTGGTTTTCCCAAAGTCACACAGTTAATGAGTGACAAAACTGCAATCACAACCTATCAGTTTAGATTCAATAACCCCCTATATGAATATGAACAACAGAGTGGAGTTAAATAACAGGAGGAAGCCTTACCTAAGTGGAAACCACACTCACAATAACACCTTTGTGACCACCATGTCTACTTCACTAAATATCCTTTCATGACCAAATGTGAATTTTTAAGAATTATTTTCTCAAGCCCTGGCTGGTGTGGCTCAGTGGATTGAGCACTGGCCTGTGGACCAAATGGTCACAGGTTCAATACCCAGCCAGGGCACAAGATTGGGTTGCAGGCCAGATCCCCAGTTGGGAGCACATGAAATGCAACCACACATTGATGTTTCTTCCCCCCTTTCTTTCTCCCTTCCCCTTTGTCTAAAAATAAATAAATAAAATCTTTTTAAAAAAGAATTATTTTCTCAAATAATTTATATTATTTCTATAAAATATATTATATTATTTTAAATATTAAATACCTTGTAATAACTTGCCCTAAAAATGATGTGAAGTTCTGACAGTGTTAAAATAATTCATTTGCTATTAAGGAGACATAACATTTAGATAGTCTTCAAACTATTTGAAAATTTTAGTGTTTAACAATTTTAAAGACATTTCTAATATAGCTTTTTTCAAGTTGTAGAACACTGTCCTAATTGCTGTAAATGAAGTTTTCAATCAATATACATTGTCTTTTAGTCTGTCAGTATGAAACTGAGCATTATAATGTCTTAAGTATTTTCTAATGTGACTTCCTTACACGTTTAAAGAATTTCTAGTTAAATGGAGTTTAGTTTAGATAGCAAGAGATCCAAGTTTTGGACAAGTAGTCAAGTTTTTAGTTCTATCATCTTTAAAAGGAAGACAAGATCTTCATTTTTTTTACCATGTATTGTTGGGAACTGCCGTGCCTGGTATCAGAAGCTGTAACCCCCGCCAAGGCTAAGGCTGAGAAAACGACCTTGGACCGTAAGCCAGCAAGGAGACAAAGGCTTATCTCCCTGGCAGGAATACCATATCTGCTCCTTTTACTTCATCTATAACTGGCCCCCAATGCTTGGTCAGTTAGCCAATGACAGGTAAGATTCCCCAAAAGGGGAATGATCTAAGACAGGCACAATCACGTGGGAAGATCCCAAGGAAGGACTTTGGGGGCTACAGCAAAAGGGGGTGATGGACCCTCGCCCCTTGGCTTTGACAAAGCCTGAGTCCTCATTGCTTGCGAGAAAATCTAATCTCTTGGCTGCCTTACTTCTGTTGTTCCACCTAAGCCTAAAACAATGACAGAGGTTGGTACAGCCCTGTGCTGGAAAGGGCGGGTTCCCCGGGTGATCAGGCCTAAGAAAGAATTTGTAAAATCCTGTGAAACCTGCTTTGTTTAGAATGCTTTCAGTTGAATGATAAGGGTCCAAGGAAGAAGTAAGTTTGTTCCTTAAAGTTTTTTACAGCTCTTTGATCCTGACTCAAAATGGGCCCCCAGACTTCCTTGTTACCTATTGTTCCATCCTTACTTCTTGGCAATGAGTAATGAGCTTTACCTGAATACTGATGTAAAGGAACTGAATAAAAGCCTGCTCAGGCAGGAGAACGAGGTGCTCTTCCTTAGGGGCGCTCTCCCCTAGGGAGGGTGGCCATGGCTCACCCCACTAGAGAGAGTGGCCACTCCATCCCTATTTCCCCTCAGGACCTGGTTATCTCTGTGTATGTTTTTCTCGTGTTTCGACGAGCCATCCACAGTGTTCCATGGTCACTGCTGGTCGGTGGCTGCATCAGTGTATAAATAAGGGATCAATAAAATTATTAAATAAATTGGTATCATTTGATAAATAAGTAGATAGATATATAGTAATTATAGAGTCTGATGCTTTCAGATAACTCTCTACTACAAAGAAATAGCTAACTCTGAACAATTTCTAAATAACCTATTTGCCTTAAATAAAATCTGTTTGGCATGTAAGTGTGCAGAAGTTTGGTGTGGTTGCATTGCTAACAGACTGAGAAGTCTGTGCTCTCATTAGTTTGTCTTCCATTTTTTTGCACTTGCCTGAGAAAGACATAAGTACCTACCATACAGGGTAGAGTAAGGAATTCCCTGTGAACACAGATTCCTAGAAGTGAAGAGGTCAGACAAGAGAAATAGCTCACAAAGTCAGTGCTAATAGTTTTATCCACAGTGATTCCTCATCAGTTATACTCTGCTTATATATATGGTTATTTTTTTTCTTTTTTATTGGTTGTTCAAACTTGGACAAGTTATTTAATAACACTAACCCTATTGTCTCACTCATGAAGTGAGTATGAAATTAATTCCTGCCTCATAAGACTGTGTTAAGGATTAAATGAAGTGACATATGTATAACAATCAGCATTATGCCTGGTATATTTTAATTTTTTTATTTTTTAAAGATTTTTAAAATATTTTATTTATTTATTTTTAGAGAGGGAAGGGAGGGAGGGGGAGAGAGAGAGAGAGAAAGAGAGAGAGAGAGAGAGAGAGAGAGAGAGAGAGAGAGAGAGAGAAACATCAATGTGCAGTTTCTGGGGGTTATAGCCTGCAACCCGGACATGTACCTGGCTGGGAATCGAACCTGGGACACTTTGGTTCCCAGCCCGCGCTCAATCCACTGAGCTATGCCAGCCAGGGCTATTTCTGGTATATTTTTAGAGCTTCATCAGTGTTAGCTACTAAGGACAGTTATCAGTAACCATTGACAATGGTGGTGAATGGATTTCTTATATTAACGTTCAAGTAGCAAAGTCCCAGGAATGGAGAAACAAGCTGGCTGGTCTGCCATCTTTCCCTAACAGTCCATTATAACACACTGGATCAGTTTTCAGTTTCCCCTTCTGCTCCCAGAGCACTTCAGTTCAATTGACCTGCAGAGAGAGAGGTCTCAGCTATCTCCATTAAC